ACTAGTTTGGCATAAGAATAAGATTTGGCATGAGAAAATGTTATTTTAGCATAAAAGTATGGGATATCCACTAGTAATCTAAGATCTAAAATGTTTGGTATAAAAATTAAAACTTGAGAAACCTGAGACTCGAGCAAAAACGCTCAAAACACCGAAAAATCACGACTCCTTATAGACAGCTTAGTTGGATGCCGAATTAGTTTTAGATTCAAAAACAAAAGTTGTATATCTCAGTAAATGGGAAAAAAATCTCATGAAGAAACCTTTATCAAATTCAAACCGTTTAAGTATAGAAAACTACAGTTGAAGTTTTGGCCTATAAGGAAAAGTACCTATAAGATGGTCGAATTAGGCTTAGGGCTCGATTGAAAAGTTGTAGATCCTAGTAAGACAAGTAACATACCTGAAGAAAGTTTGTTAAGAGTTATTAAGTGTATAAAATTAGGTAAACAAATTTTTACCGATGTTAAAATTGCCTAAATATTTAGATTAGATTCAGCGAAAGGTCTTATAGAGCCTTTTATTTTTATAGGCAAATGAACTTGATGGTGAGTAAAAAGTTTAGTTCGGCCTTAGGAACAAAAACGTCAAAATTTCCGTTAACGGGTCAAAATTATAAATTTGAAGCGGTAGGGGCAAAATTATATAAAAAGCCGTAGGGGCAAAACAGTCATTTGACCTCAAGGGTAAAATAGTCAAACGGATACCGAGCTTCGAGTTTTAGTTCACGGTGCTCAAGCGCAAAATGTCTCTGATAGCAAGTACCTTAGATTTATTAACTTCGGGGCTGTTCGGCAACCCCTTCTTTGAGTCAAAAACTCAAAAAAAACAACTCGAGTTACAACTTTATTCAAGTTCATGTTCTTTTAAGTTTGAACTCGAGTTTGAGACTAAAACTCAAGTTCAAGTTTTCCCTTCAACTCGAGTTCAGAAACTCGAACACAAATTAATGAACAATATTTTTTCTTTTCTTAAAAATGCTATAACTTTTTCGTTTTAATTCTGATTGAGATGATTTTTTTTTCTATGTGTTCACAACGAAAAGACAAATAAAATCTCACCTATATACCCTATTAAAATCTTTCATCAGCATTGAGTTTTTATTAAAATACTATAAAAATACAAATTCAAGTTTTGACTCACTCAAACACAAACTCAAAAAGATTCTTATCTCAACCCATAACTCAAATGTACACAACCAAACACAAACTCAAGTTACAACTTCAACACAAGTTATAACTCAAACTCAACTCAAAATATAACTCAAGTCACCTAACTCAAAAAGAGTAAAAGAATAGCCCCTTAGATCTGTTAAAGCCGATAATTAAGGGTAAAATGGTAATTTTCTTTAAAGGTAAAATCAAGGCTGGAAACTCCAATCCAACCCAATTTCCATAGAGGACAGGTAACCTTAGTTGACCTAGTTGAAGCAGAGGTACTAAATGGGCCCAAGGACCCAAGTGAGAAATAAAGTAATCCTTAGGTTTACCGAAGGTAACCTTCTAAGTGACAAGGTTTAATTAAGCCCGAAATTTAGGTGATCCCGACCTTTACCTTTAGAGTTTAGACAACCGTGAGTATAAAAAAGTTTAGAGGCTAACGGAGTTATGAAAACTAGAGATGAATTGCTTACAAAAGTGAAGTGAATCAATTTTAGGATTCCTAAGTTAAATAATAAGAGTGAATTAAATTAATTAATTAATTAATTAGTATAACTAATTGGTTAATTACAATTAGAAAATGAATTATTTAAGTAATGAGGGTCATTAACCTAATTGGTTAATCACGTTTAAGCATAAAATTAACTAATTATGTGGTGAAGTTTTTAAGTTAATTTACCTGAAGAAATGTGGCTAAATATAGAAGATCCGGTAAATTAATTAAATTAATTAATTTAGGGACTTCGATAAGTCATAAGCCATAAGCCATAAAACTTAAGTAAATTGAGCTATTAGTTTGAAAATAAACTGACATTTAGTTAGTACAAATTGAACACACAGAATCCACAATGCTGAAAGAGTGGTGTGCCGCGATAAAACGTTAAGTGTATTTATCCAGGTGAATACAAACCCCACCTCAACATGAATATATCTACTAGTATGTTATGTATATATGATGATGAGTATTCTGTATATGTTACCTTTGAAGTTTAAATTATGCATATGAGATCGCATGTCCACCCTAAAAAGAGGCTAAGGTAATGAAAAAAACAAGATAAGGGTCGTACCACTCTTTACGAGGAAGGTAATAATAATTAACTGCAACCATAATAATAGTCGAACTGAGGACGTTTGGTTCATAGTTTCAAAATTATGATTTAGAACTATTCTCGTTTTACGTGTATTTTTTGTGAGAGAAAAATACTGTAGAGAACCGTGAATCATGATTCAGAATCAAAGACGAATATAGGAAACGAACGTCAGATTAATGTTTCGCTCCCCTGACTCCTTATTGGCCATGCGTTATCGGTACGAGCACAAGGCCCCAATAATAAAATATACTGCCATAATTAAGCATAAAATGTTATGCATCTTTACATGGTATTATGTGTGCAAGTGTTTTGTGAGGATATTTATACTTACTGAACTCTATCTAATTAAGTTGTTCATACTAAAAGTAAATCGGATAAATCATGCACCTCAGATACTTTTAATGGATTGACTAGCCAGTACAGAGCGATGGGAGCACGAGTGTTGGATACCACTACACAAATAATTTCCGCATTAAGATCATAAGATTACGTTGAAAGTTTAGGTTAAATTATGATATGAAGTGATGATGAAATTTATTACAATCATGCATGATAAGTTTTAAAAACTAACATTTAGGTTGCAAAAAATCTATTAAATAATACATTGTAAGTTTGTATTAGTTCTAGAATGATCTAATTAACTTATATACTTATAATGATCTTTGTTAAAGCGTCAAGTTGTGAGAAGATTTTTAAAGGATATGAGAAAAGAAGTTTAAGTTAAAAAAAATATATATATCTAAAATTTTAGTAACTAAGAATATATTTAAAGACAAGTAAAAGTTTAAAATAAGTCAATTACAGTTTAAGTAAGTTAAATAGTAGTTCGAAAAGTCGTGTCATTATAAAGTCGATTCTAACAACTTTTGTCTTACCATCACGACCTTTTTGTGGTATTATGGTATTTGTAAATTTTAGGTCCGGTTCATTTCACCAATTTAAGTTTTTAATTTTAGTTTTATTATAGTTAAAAATTCTCATAAAAAGTCACATCTAACTTTTTCTATTACGGTAAAAAGTTTTCATAGAAAATCAAATCTCAACTCGAATTGAAAACTCAATTCTGCGATCTGAGCGAGGCTTTAGTAACACCCTTTTGGCATCAATAACTTTTTGTCATTATTTATTGACATATTTCTTGTAGTAAATATAGTAAAGATTCTTCAACCATATATGTGTTCTCGTCGAAATTTTTTGTAAGCGTTCAATCGATGTTAGAAGCTACAAAAAATGTTTCGTGACAAAATTATCATCGTTAAAATGTGTAACATTTAACAATAATAGGTCATTTTGTCACCAAATACATTTTGCAACGAGATTTTAGTGATGACTTTTGTTGTTAATTGTTATTTATCCTTGTAAAATAAGGTTTCTAACGGACTGGTTTTCCCGTTACGTTTGTTGTCTTTCCCTTGTTCTATTTAAAATAATAAATAAATAAATAAATAAAACCTTTAAAAAAGTTTACGTGGACGTTTTGTTCACGGATTTAAAATCATGTTTCAAAATTATTCTCGGTTTACATGTATTTTTTATGAGAGAAAATACTGTAACAAATAATGAATTATGATTTAAATCATGACACGAATTCTCATACTAAACAGCATGTACGTTGCATCAATAGAGAACAGTCTGCAGACGTAATGTACATCACGCGTTACTGTGTCCGACTGCTACACAACATGTTCATGTGCTAGAAAATTCGCGTCTCTCACATTTATCTGACCACTATAATTAATTTGCAAGCACATTTATATCTATAATGTTGAATTATCACTTGCAATAATGACCTACTGCTGTTTTCAGGGGAAACAATGACGATACGCCACTAATATTTTTGTTTTCCTTTCTGAGTAAATTTATTATGAGGTGCCACTATTAATGATTAACAAATTATAAATCATGTCTTTGACACGGACTGAATAAATTATAATTCAACTTCATAAACATTATCGAATAAGGAGAAAACTACGCTCGTTTTTTGTTTTTTGTCCAAAAGTTTTAAAGAGTCAAAAGCATCGCCATTTAAGTTATGTTTGATTTTTAAACTTAGAATTTATGATTCTGATTTTATTATAATATTTTTCATCTCATAAAATTTAAATTTTAAATTTTTTTTTCTCATAAAATTTATATTAATAAATTAAAATTATTAATTTAAATGCGTGAAACAAACCGACTTACAGGTTGTGTATCTATACGTGTATCTATACGAGTATAATGACAGGTTGGTAAACAAAGGCTTCGCTGCAGTAATTTCAGGCTCAAATTCAAAATCTGTAAAATCCCAAAACAAAACGCTCCGATCTCTATCCCACTAATGGACCCCACCTTAATCCCCTTGTTTGTCTTCAAGTGTGTTTGATTCATGCTTATCTCGAGGATGTTGCCATGCAAAAACCGATCTCTCTCAATGCCTTCCCTCTCACGCTTTTTCCTGTTGGCTCTAAATACACATATCTCTGATGTACTGGCGGCCTACAAACCAACGGCGAGGATCAACCCATTTGGATTGGAATGCAGAATCAAAGGCGAGGGCCGTTTTAGATCTCGCCTCTGCTCAACACGTGTACGTCTCTGCCTCACCCTTTACTTTTTTCTCTCTCTACTTTTTCCCTCTCTCTCTGTGATGGTTTTGTGCGTGTATATATATATATATATTCATTTTGCATGCACTGAAAGTACTCTTCTTTTTAATTACTATATAACCCTAATATCCAAGCATCTAACAAAGCTACGAAAAGAAGAAACTTGCCATTCTTTTACATCTCTGTGCTTTGTTTTTTCTTAATTTTCTCATTGGTCTCATGGCAGCCTCAGTTGACCCGCTTGTCGTCGGCCGAGTGATCGGCGATGTCGTTGACATGTTTATTCCGACTTTGAGCGTCTCTGTCTACTTCGGCTCAAAGCATGTCACTAATGGCTGTGACATCAAACCCTCCATTGCTATAAGCCCTCCCAAAGTCGCCATCTCTGGACATTCTGACGAGCTTTATACTCTGGTCTCTGCCTTTCACTATATATAAACATATATATATATATGTATACACGTATTTCCACTTGTTTTTTATTTGTAGTTATCTATACATGTATGTTTATCATTTGCATGCAAGAGCTATTGCTCTTTCTTGTATATGTGAAGATAGATTTTGTCGCTGTTGTTGTTGCTTTTTTATAAAAAAAAAATAAAGATAAATTTGCTTTGTTTGAACAGGAATTTATTATTGTAAGATTGTCTTCCTTATTGTTTATGGGCTTTGTGTGAATCATGCAGGTTATGACTGATCCGGATGCACCCAGTCCAAGTGAGCCTAGCATGCGAGAATGGGTTCACTGGTCAGCTGATTCTATCACCTAACTTTTTCACTTTTTTATTTTTATTTATTTTCTACTTTTTCAGATTTTTTTTTTCCCGGTTTTCCCACCACGCGTATCATTTTTCTTTTATTGGTTCACACAAACTCATGAGCTTGTTTTTCTGGTGATTTCAGGATTGTTGTCGATATCCCTGGCGGAACAAATCCAAACAGAGGTAAAAACGCTATTTTATATATATATATATATGAAACGTGGACGAGAGAATAAGTTTTAGCTCAATGATCATCATCATCTACTAATCTGTTTCTGCAGCTTTGCATGCATGCAAAGATTCCCCTTTTAGTGCATAAATGTCTCCTAAATTTTCACACGAATATTTAGACAACATATAGAAAAGAACAATTAAAAAAAAAAACAACAACATTAAAATGAGAAAGGAATGGCAGAGGCCTTGCAGCCGCTGACAACAATATTTGATCAGTGGACCATTATTTCATATGATCAGAACAGTCATAAAGAATCTCTCATTAATTTCTAAGCAACTTGCATGTGTAGATTTTGTGCGTGATCGGAATATACGTATTGCCTTTATTTTATCAGAAAATCTAAAACAATTTTGGGTCACATCACATCACTTACTCTACCCCTTTATTAATTTATTCTTGAAAATATGCTTACGCGCAGACCTTATTTTTCTTTGTCCTATAGTTTCTAAACATCTGTCATTAGCCTAGATTTTTTCTGAAGCTTTACTAAAAGGCTTTATAATGATATCGTGTCGTCCAAATAACCTTACAACGTGTTGAAAGATGCAGAATTCATTGATTTTACGTGGAAAGATAAATATTCTTTTCCATTTCTTTCCGTTTTAACCCCACATTTTTCTATTCTTTTTATGTGAGGTCTTTTTAGTTCGTCGACTTAAATTAATTGATAAATTTTTAATTTAAATTAAGATATAATTTTATATGAGATTTTTTAATTTTAATAAAAAAATAAATATAATCTTTTATAAAAATTTATAATTTTAAAAAAATTTAAATTTAAAACTCAAATCGATGAAATGTTGTATTATGAGTTTTTTTTTTTTCTTTCTCTTTCCGTATGAGAATTTTAAGTGGTGTTTTCTTTCGGGTGTTGGACCTTACGTTGGAAATTCCATGCAATTACTCTACTCCTGCCACCTGCCACAGCATCATATGTAGATTGCGACACGTTGCTGCCACTTGTCACTTTGCCTGTATCACCTTCCATTTGTCACATTTTTCTCCTTGACACGTTTCAAACATGTAGAGCCACAATCGGATTTGGGAATATTGAATAATAAAAAAAAAAAGGTTTCGATTATATGACATGACTGAAGTGGGCTGAGATGGTCCAATAATAATACAATGTTGTTTTTTTTTTTTTGCTAATCCAATGATGTTGTTGTTTTTCTTCTAAATATATATATATATATAAAATCAGGAAAAGAGATTCTACCCTACGTGGGACCGCGTCCGCCGGTGGGAATCCATCGCTTCATTCTGGTGCTATTCCGGCAGAAGGCGCCGCTGGGACTGGTGGACCAGCCGCCGACGCGGGCCAACTTTAACACTCGCTATTTTGCCGGAAACCTCGACCTCGGCCTGCCTGTCGCCACCGTCTACTTCAACTCCCAGAAGGAGCCAGCCTCTAAGCGTCGCTGAGCTTTATATATATATATATGCCGTGCAGGCATTTACGTCGCTGCTAGCTTGGAGGTCCAACGAGAGGCAGAGATTGTGATATCATATATTATGGTAGTTCTAATAATGAATATTAGCAAATCATGTGTGTCGTTTGTTATAATTCATTGTTGCATGTCAAATATATGTATATGGCCGGTTAAGACAAGAGTCTCTTGCGTTTTCTAGATATTGTTATATTCATCTTTTTTTCAAGTGTTGGTATTTCCTAGTCTTTTAAATTTATAATAAAGAGCTTTTCTAATTTGTGTTCTTCTCTCTCTTGTTCTCTTTGTGTGTATATATATATTATATATATTTATATATGTATGTATGCGGTTTTATTATTTTTCTTTTTAATGTATAAGAAATGCTAGTTGCTATTAGGATTTGGAGTCTTGGATCTCTCTTATTAGCCCACCTTATACTTATCAACTGGGTAACAGAATTGGCCGAGAAATTGTGGGTCTATCAGATGTATGTTAGAAAATTAATTATAAAACTCACTCACCTAACCCAACTTAAGGGAATATACCATTTTATAAGTTATGAAGTTTTATCTTCAAATACGATTTTTGGTATCAATCTTATACGATCACACGATTTTTGATATCAATTTTATACGATCACACGATTTTTTATATCAATTTTATCCGGTCCCAATTCTCTCTCTGATCTTATTTTGTTTTGCATTAATTGTTCATAATTGTCATAGATATTTCACCCAACTTTTTATATAATTAATTCTTGAAATTTTAAACACTAATTATTAAACAATATACTTTTTTAAACTTGATATGTTCAAACCGTTATTGTACGTTTTAGAAAGGAAATAAACGAGTATTTTGCTACTGGTTCGACGGGAAAGTAATAGTTTTAAGTGAACCTTAAGAATCCCTGTACACTTCTCTGTCCAGCAAATGAAAAATTGACGCATCACTCTACTTATTTAAAAGACTAATCCGTTCATTTCACCGATTCGAGTTTTGTTACAGTAAAAAGCTCTCATAAACAGTCACATCTAACTCTTTTACTACAATAAAAAGCTCTCACATAAAGTCACATCTCAACTCGAATTAAAAATTCAAATCAGCGAACTAAACGAACTCTAAGACTAAACTCTTGTTTGTTTTATTGGTTTTGCTCAGTTCAACTCAACTAAATTTGAACAGTAAACACAGTTTGAATTTCATATTTGGTAAGCATGCAGTCTGAATTATATTCTTTATTTGAGCTGAGTTAAACTGTCCAATTTAGAGTTTAACAAACCATTTTTTAATAAGAAAAAGATGTCTACTATCTCATATTAAAATTTTAACTGCAAATCTAAATACCAATTCAAACTACAATTTAAACCACATAATCTGAATTTTATGTTCAAATAAAAAAGTTCAAATTAACAAAATTCGAACCAACAAACTAGAGGGGGCTAAGGACTTGTTTGGTTCACCGTTTGAAATGTTGTGATTTGGTTGGAACTTTAGAATTTGATTTGTGATTCGAACTGGTGTTTAGATATATATAAATAAATTGTAATTTAAATTGAGAAAAAATCTAAATTGAGTTTGTCAGAGTGTTAAAAATTGTCATTAAAGTTTTGCAACAAATATTATAAAACCTTATTGTAAATGACATGCTTGAACATACAACATAGATGAGGATCTATTCCTCTATTTATTATGAACATATAGGAAAAATATCATCTCAATTGGAGTTGAAACGAAGAAGTTATGACAATTTTAAGTTTGAAGTTGCAGAGAGAAAAAAAATAAAGAACAATTGTGTTTGAACTGTTTTCAACAATCCAAATTGTTCAATTTAAAAGGGGGTATGAATTCCAAAATCAACCATTTGAATCATAGTTGATGATTTGAAATGGTCCTTCTTTATTTATAAATTAAACACTAGTTTGAGCCTTTGGGCACAATTCGAATCGAATTGTTTGGTTCTAATTGTTGAACCAAATATGGATTTGAATGCACTTCATAACAGATTCGATATAAGTGTTGGAAATGTGGAAATGTGGTCCATCTAGGACTTCTTTTCATAAATTATTATTACTAGTGCCTTTTGAACTATAGAGTTATTTCCAGTTAACTTCTCAAATTTTAAAAATTTTTACTTTATCCTTTAAATATTGGATTGTTCCCATTTAACCCTTTATGTTGGAATTTCTATTAAAAACATATAGAAAAAAATAGAATAATGCAGTCACATGCTTTTACTATTTCAATATTTATTAAAAGCAAACAGATAAAAACCATACATAACTCTTTTTTTTTAAATGATTTTAACAGAAACTCTTACAAAAAGGGCTTAAACGAGATTAATTCAAAATTCATGAGGTAAAGTTAGAGTTTTTAAAGTTTAAAGGATAAATTAAAAATTACTCTAAAATTTAGAGAGCACCAGTGATAATAATCCTCTCTCCATACATCACCTACAAAAATTTGCCAAGAAAAAATACTAGCTTTTTCCATATTAGTTAGGATAATCTTGGTATAAGTGATAATTAAAGGATTTTCTTTTTCTCAAAATTACGGTTTATTTTGTACCCGTAAGTCATTTACTATCGTGGAGACTCGTCTTAAATGGATGAATTAGTCTTAACGAGTTAAAGATTCAGAAATTGTATGAATACTATTTTTTTGAAACTTATTTGAAGTAAGTAGCATGGATTAAAATATTTTAAAGTAAATAACACACGTATGGGTATAATCTATATATTCCTAATTTATTTTAGAATCTGATATTTAATCCAAAAATGCTTCAAAATAAATAGAATTTGCCTCTTTTTCTATTAAAGATTTAACTTTGTGATGAACTACAGGTACTTTTAAATTCTTGACATGAAATTGGTCTATGCCTTACATATTAAAAAGTACTTGAAGGACTATCATTGTTAATAAAATATAAATCTTATACGTGAGTTCATGAATGAAAATGTCCACGATATTATTGACATTTCCACAACATTATTCATATTTTGAAGTCTCTAAATGAATAATAAGAGGGAGAGGGGGATATATTCCTCCCAACGTGTCCATAAAATATTCACAATGTCCAAAAATATCCGTAAAATCCGTGAATATAGGATATTTTTTAAAACGTCCAATAACACCACCCGATGTGTCTATAAAATATCCATAATGTTCAAAAATATCCGTAAAATCCGTGAATATTCGTAAATAGCCAGGATATTTTTGAAAATGTCCAAAACACCAAAAAAAATTTTTGCACAAAAATTAATTTTGTAGCACATTGTTTTCCTATTTTTTTCAATAAAATGTGACAACATGATTCAATTCAAAAGCAATAAAAATATCAAGACTTAATTAGTTTTTTAAATAATTTTTACTTCTTAGATTAATGATTCATATTCAAATACTGGAGAATAAGATTTTACTCATGCTATACAAATGAAGATCATGGATGTAGGACAATAGGTCCTAGTGTTAAGGCAATTGGAAAACAATTTACAAAAAGATGTGGTGTGACTCAAATGAATCAAAAAAATTGACGACTGTTCTGTGGCCTTGAGTTTTGACTCCATGAGTTTAGGAACTAAATAAAGTTCATATAGTTATAATTATCCATATAATTCTCACATGGGAGTTACTTTAAAAGTACAAAACTAAGATGATTTGTTTGATATATTAATGTATCCTCCATCACAGGTCAGTATTGAAATGTCATCACACATCTCTGAAGACTACTCATTAAGTTGGATAAACTAATAGTATCCAATTTATGAGTTAACAATGGAAAGCGATCAAGAAAAATATGTAGCACATCAACAATTACCTCCATAATTATTCAAGGGTAATACCTTGATAAATTATTATTTAAATCAAGATCAGAACTTGCCTAATGAGCTTTCCAACCTGTTAAAAACTTGTTTTAATACTAAAAATACTTTTAAGTCCATGTATATTCTACTATGTTTGGTAGTTAATTTTTATTTAATATAATGAATTATTGTGCTTTGTTTATATTATGTATGTAAAATTATATTTAAATCATAATATATATATAATTACGATAATTTCTTACTATACTATTTAACATAAATGTCATATTCCCAACAAAATGTGTTATTTTTGTTATTAAATTAGTTTAAATTAAATAATATTAATTGTTTTTAATATTTTGTTATAGTTTTAATAAAAGGATTTTAAGATTTTCTCAATATATCAATTATTTTTTAAAATATTTATCAATATTAATATTTCTGTCGCATCATCCGTAAATCAAAATTTGACAACTCCATCGACATTAACATTTTCATTCACATGGCAGCACTCTCAATTAATGGGTGGTACTTTACTTTCTTTACAGGACCAAACCCAAAACCGTTCCGTTGCCATTCTTCTTGTAGAATCGTTAAGACAAAATTTTAAACCAAAAACAAAACAAAAAACAATAAAAAACTACAGTCAAAAGATTATAATGGTTCAGAATTATAATTTAAAATTATTTTTAATTTATATGTATTTTTTATAAAAAAAAATATTATAAAAAATTATAAATTATAATTTAAATTAAGTACGATTCTACTAATTAAATGTGCATTAATACATATTTACACGTGTCGTGTAGTCATCTTCTCTCTCCTTCTTACCTTCTCCACGTGTCCCATCATTTCCCTCCTCTTCATGCATTGCACTAAATCGAGCAATAGACGCTAATCACTTCCGCCAATATAAAACCCAAAAGCTTTCAAATCTCACAGTTTCCTCTCTCCCCTTTTTCTCGACAACTTGTCACTTTCCCGAGAAAAGTCGAGAAAATAAAAAAGGAAAAAAAAATGCCACAGCTCGCGGAGACATACGCGTGCGTGCCGTCGACGGAGCGAGGCCGGGGGATTCTGATCTCCGGCAGCCCCAAATCCAATGCCATCCTCTACACCAATGGCCGATCCGTCATCATCCTCAACCTCGACAACCCTCTCGACGTCTCCGTCTACGCCGAGCACGCTTACCCCGCCACCGTCGCCAGATTCTCCCCCAACGGCGAATGGATCGCCTCCGCCGACGTCTCCGGCGCCGTCAGGATCTGGGGGACCCACAACGACTTCGTCTTGAAGAAGGAGTTCAAGGTTTTGTCTGGTCGGATCGACGATCTCCAGTGGTCGCCTGACGGGATGAGGATCGTCGCTTGCGGTGAGGGCAAAGGGAAGTCCTTCGTCCGTGCTTTTATGTGAGTGTTCTTTTCGTTTCTTTTCTTTGATTTTGCTGGTTTTTTATTGGTCTCTGAGAAATGAAGGGAAATTTATTGGCTAAGTTTGAATGGTGCTTATGTTTGCAATGAATATATTGTAAGATGATTTGTGTTAAATGTTTGGTGTTGCTTAATTTTACCTAAACCGGGGATTTATGATCTCGATTTTCCTTTGGTTGGTTTTGTTGTTTTTCTTGTTTGATGGGTAATGAAGGGTAAATTGGTTATCTACATCTGAATAATGCTTTAGTTTTATAATAATGAGTAGATGTGACAATGTTTCTTAATTGTTCGATGTTGCTATGATTCATTTTCTTTGGATGATGCAAAGTCTCTTCTCATTGAAACATTGTTTGGATGGGATAAAGTAGTAGAACAATCGCTATCTTTCCTTGGAAATTAATTTACAAATGAGCCTTGGACTGAGTGTTTACTTTCGTCAAAGACATTGAGACGATGATGGCGTCTGAGATTGCCAGATTGGTATCATGTACATAAGGGCCCATTAGCTATCTTTCTTCCAGTGCTTCTCTGGAAAAATGGTGTGCCCTTTGTGATAACAAGGTGTCAAAAGTATGGGGTGTATCGTTGATAACTTATCCCCTAAGCAGCCTGGCTGTAAAAGGAAAATGATTTGATGGTGGTACATGCCCCGTAACAAGGACAAACTAACTTGTTGAAATGAAAAAAAAAACAGAGAGAGAATCAGATATGAAATTAACCCTTACTTTCGTGATAAAGTGTCTCCTGATTTATTTGCAAATTTGAATGATCAAGCACTTTATTTCTGCCTAATAATATAATTAAGCATAGTGAACACACTCCAAGCCACTGCCAATCTGAATCTCTCTACGTTTTGGTTTGACATGGCTATCTTCTAGGATATTATATCGTCACCTAAACTCTTTATCTTCATTTAATTTTTTAACTTTGTTCTGAAAGGAAGAATATGTAGTCCTATTACATGCTGCAAATTCTAATAAGGAAACTTTGTTCTGAAAGGAAGAATATGTAGTCCTATTACATGCTGCAAATTCTAATAAGGAAAAAATAAATAAATAAACTATTGCATGCTGCGATTGCTTGAACCAGTCACTATACTTGTTCGGCACATTTGTGTCAGAAATTCTTGCCTCATATTTAGTTTGCTTTACTATATATTGGCATGCCTTTTTTATTCTATTTAAATTAAATTCAATCATATGACTTACTGTTTATACTCAATGTCGCGAAAGGTGGGATTCAGGGACAAACGTTGGAGAGTTTGATGGCCATTCAAGACGAGTTTTAAGCTGCGCATTTAAGCCAACACGACCATTTCGAATTGTTACATGTGGAGAGGACTTTTTGGTGAATTTTTATGAAGGGCCGCCATTTAAATTTAAGCTATCTCACAGGTTAGACACCACAGACTTGAGGGCATGAGGTTTAGTTATGAAATTTTTTCATGTTGTTGTTGTTATAGTTTCAGGCTCTAGGCCCAGACTAGTTGCCTGACGTAGGCCCTACCTAACATGTATCATATTCTACACCTTGGTAGTTAGCATTGGCTCTACTTCTACTTGCTGCATTGTTGTCATAGTTTCGGAAGTTGATGCTGAGCTCTGTTTAACTCAGATATATTGCTGTAATGGGCTCTTATAAGAGGCCCCATTGCACAGGATGAGTTGTCCATAGGACAAGCTGCAGCTGTGCTCTGCTGACCTGAATTCTAATACATCTCATAGTGATCTAACAAGTGCTGATCAACATGAGATTGTAAACGGATTTAGATGTTTTGTTCTTTCAATAACTTTAAATGAAATATTGTTACCTTATTGGTTTCAGGGATCATTCAAATTTTGTCAATTGTGTAAGATTTTCTCCAGACGGGAGTAAGTTCCTAAGTGTCAGCTCTGACAAGAAAGGTATTCTCTTTGATGGGAAAAGTGGAGAGAAAATTGGAGAGCTTTCCTCTGAAGATGGACATAAAGGCACCATTTATGCTGTTAGTTGGAGTCCTAATGGAAAACAGGTAAGCATTCTTGTTGGTTCTAAAGTGGAAACCTTTTTCTTGTGTTCATCATGGGCCCAAGTTCTTGTTGATCATATTCTTGGCCTTTTGTTTGTTGTTTGCTTGTTTCCATTGAAAATTTTAAATGGTTGTCTTTTGGAATATCTGGTTGTTTGCTTGAAAGTAGTTTAACTATCGAACATTGTATACTATATGAATGCTTAAAGAAATATTTTAAAGCTTCATACATCTGAAAATTGTAATTGTGAACGTATGAAATGATAGACATCGGATTAATTGATACTGACACTCCCTAAATATGAGGAGTTTGTTGAATAGTGAAGCTTTTGGTTTGCTCCCTCATTGTTTTTGGAGTTCATGCGTCTAGAACTGTATATTCCAACTCAAACCCACGAATCAAGTATGTGGGTTTGTTAGATGAAAGTTAAAAGTACAATAACATTAACAATAATGAGCACCAATTTATTACATAGAGACAGGTAGTTAGTGTTAGCAAAAATTTTGCAGTCGCATTTGAAATTGGATTGACATGATAGGTATATGTTGTGTTCCTTTTCCTTTCTCATAATTTATCTAACCTTTGTTTCATTTGTGGATGATCCCCATAGAATTATGTTCTTTCTCATACTTCCTTATTTTGACAATTTTGGTGCTGTGTGGAATTCATTATTGATTCTTGTTGCTTATTACTTTACTTGTTGGGGCTGTATTGGGCTGCAAACTTTTTTAGTTTTAAGGCAGTAGAAAATTAGCAGAACACACCATTAAGGCTGTTAATGTGCAGGTCATTGTAAAACAACGAACAGAGAATAGAAAAAGTAAAATTAGAGAACACAGCACACTGGCAACTGAAGAATGGTGATTCTTTTTTATAATTGTTATTTATTTTTTTATTTATTTTTGTGTGTGTGTGTGTGTTTTGCAGAAGTATATTACCTGACTTGTTATTTTTTGTGCCATGTGAAATTCATTATGGATTCGTGATGCATATTGTGTACTTGCCGGGACTATATTGGACTGTTAATTTCCCTGGCTGTTTTATATCTTTTTAGGCAACGGAATTATTAGAACAAACTGCTAAGGATTTGTCACGCCCCGAAACAGGGGTTAGTGACGTGGAGGCTCGTTTGGAAGTTAAACATGATTAAGGAAGTAATTTAAGCATTTGGAAATATAATAATCAATACCAAAAGTAAAATATTAAAGAAATTTACAAACAAGTCTCACATTTATAGTGAAATTAGATTACAAGAAAGTGATGGGGTCTTTCACACTTTTTAATAAAACAGGTTTAAAACCAAGCCTCTGGCATCATTTAGGGTCTCCCCAACAAGATATTTAATATTGTACATACATGAAACAAGTAAAGAACATTTACAGACATCAACCACAGTCTAGATATGTTTAAGGTTTACAATCCGATAATTTACAATTCTTACATTGAGACAACAAGAACGGAAGAGGGCGCAACTACTCCACTTGAACCGCACAAGCGAAGGTTATCAGAGTTCGCAACTTATTAAGCACTACTTCTAGCGTTGCCTGGGAGGGGTTAAATATATATAAACAGAAGGAAAACATGAGCAGAATGTCCAATAGGATATATTTTAAAAAACTTGATAAACAAGTAAATAAATAAATAAAAGTGTTCAGTCCCAACATAACAGTTGGAACCTAACATCCTTTTTCTGAAAGGAAATATAAACTCAAAATTTCCATATTACAGGCATCAGCAAGTAATTTATAACTATGATAAATTACTTACACAACCATATACACAAGCCTTAACACCACCGTAGTGGCCCGGTCCGGGTTTCGGGTTCTGCCCTCGAGGATACACTCTGCATATCCTATTTAGGTCATTAGCGGGCTTACCAATTCGCAAGATATCTTAAGAAAACATTCATTAAAACTTTAGAATAGTTCATTATGATTCCAATAGCAATATTCAAGCTATTGTGTTAAAGTACTTTTCTTTATCAAACATGTCCTTTCTTTAAAACATTTATATAGGCTAAAAACTCTTAAAACAGGCTAACAAAGAAAATGACAAGAAATCCTACCTTCGAATGTCAAACATGTGGTTAGCTTCACGCTACCCTAGCCTCCACTTTCCTCAAAGCTTTTAATCCGATTCCGCAACTAGCATTGACACAAAACAACGTTTTAGGATTCAACCCTCATTCCTAAAACAAATCAAGCTCAATCGAACACAATGATTTCCATTAGTGTGCCTTGATCAAATTCCAAATCTCATAAATCATTTCCAAGGATTTTGATCTCAAAACATGGATTAAAGATGCTAATCCATCTTCCTTAAGTTCCCAAATGAAGCTAATTTGGGTCCTCTTTGAAAACCATGGTAAAAAATAGAGCTTTACGACAAATCTGGTTCAGATCACGTGTGCATCGGTCGACAGATGACAGAGAGGTTCATCTCCACCGGGTGGCCGGTGGAGAAGGGACCGGTCGACCGGTGGGAGTTGAACAGAGCAGCTGACATGGCCAATCCGAAGAAAACAGAGCCAAAACCTATGAGTTCAATTCCGAAATATATTCAAAGAAAACAACAAATCCAGGTTCCAATTACTAAATCAAGTCCAAAGAACCATAAATCCCCAAATTTCACCGTGATTTCAACCAAAACTCATCAAAATCCAACTCGAACTGAAAATAAGTTTTTCAAAGGAAAAATCCAAGATTCAAGAGAAGTTTTTCTGAAATGTTACCCCAAATCCTTCCTTTGATGTTGAAAACTTCTTAAGGTTCCTCTTTAGTTCAAGATTCTTGAGAAAGGGTAACAAATTTTGAGAGAAAGAGAGAAAGAGAGAACGAGAGACAAGAGAGAGAGGGAGAGAGAGCGTCTGAGAGTGAGAGAGAGAGAGAGAGAGAGAGAGAGAGAGTGACGAGCTGAGAGAGTGAGGAAAGAGGGGGAAAAAAAAGAAAAGGAAGAAAAGAAAAGTAGAATGGATAAACATTAAAGGTATTTAGGAAATCAGATCAGAAAATGTGTCTACACACACTTCTGGATTTTCAATATAAATACTGAAAATGTTTAAAATCCTTGAAAATATGTAAACTTAAATATTAGAAAGTATCCCGTGAACATGATTCATTAATTAAACCAGATTAGGCACATTAATAAATCTCAATTAATATAATTAATCTTGTTTAATTCCTCGAGGTGTTATAGGATTTTAATGTGCATATTCTCTTAAACAGCAAACAAAGAATAATAAAAGTAGACCTAGAGATTCTCTGGGAAAAAGAAAAAAAAAAGCCTTTGAAGAAATAGAAATTATGATTATTATTTTTGTGGAACTATCTTTCCTATATATAGTTAATTGTATTGCAATTCAAGTGCTATATGAAATTCATTATGGATTCATTCATATTGCCTGTATTACTTGGGTAGTATTTTACTGCTTTCATCGTTTTTATCCTTGTAAAACAGCAAACATGGAATAACAAACGTAGACTCAGTTCCTCAAAAGAGGGGGAAAAAAAGTAGAATAAGGGAACACAATGCTGAAAAGGGGGAGTTTTTTTACTTCGCCGGGGATTCCAGTGATCTGGAAACTAAATAATAATCAGCTATTAACTCATAAGGACCTAATAGAGTCCAGATTACAGCACAAGAAGGAACTAAAGATCAGAATCACAATTCTTTGCGGCAGAGTCGTGAAACTTTAAAAATCATAATAGCTTTATCCTCATTCTTCTGTAATTATCGCAAACATGCCCCTACAGAGTAAGAAAACTAATTGCTAGAAAGGAGAGAGAGAGAATTAGTTTTGTTTGCTTTGTAGCTTCTGTAACGGCCTTAATAACTTTAGAGGGTGTTTAGGTCCCAGGGGGCTACTTCATGACGTTGGCAAAACAAGATTTGACACCTATTGCTGAAAGTTATTGCCTTAACATATGTGTTACAGATCACATAGACTGACATGCGGCAATGAATATCGAGTGTTGGGCACGATTGCTGAACTTAGAACAAAAAATATAGTTTATTGTAATTTTCCCATTTACCTTTTGTGTAAAAACAACTCACATTAATTTTTGGAAATATATCACCCTTAATCCTGAATATTGATGATAGGGGATGGTTCTTCACACACACACACACACATTTAAAAAAAAAAATCATTATGCTACTAATGAGCATGTCAGAATACAAAAAACATAGGTTGTAGGTTATTGTACAGAATACATATGTAGAATACTATAAATTCATAAATGATATATTAGCTATGGCTAAAGTGGTCTATTTGATTTACCTTCTGTTTTCTATTTGTTATTGAACCTGTTTAACTATTCTCCTTCCTTTAATGCACTGATGCGTTTGGTTAATGCTACTTTCAGGTGCTGACTGCATCTGCTGATAAATCTGCAAAAGTATGGGATATAACAGAAGATGGCAATGGCAAAGTTAAAAAAACATTGACTTGTCCTGGGTCAGGTGGTGTAGAGGACATGCTTGTTGGATGTCTATGGCAGAATGATTATCTTGTTGTTGTTTCTCTTGGAGGAACAATCAGTATATTCTCAGCAAGCGATCTTGATAAAGCCCCACTGTGCCTTTCTGGGCACATGAAGAACGTTGCTTCATTATCTGTTTTGAAAAGTAACCCAAAAGTTATATTATCCAGCAGTTATGATGGTTTAATAGTGAAATGGATTCAAGGCATTGGATATAACGGTAAGCTACAGAGGAAGGAAAACTCTCAAATCAAATGTTTTGCAGCTGTTGAGGAGGAGATTGTTACTTCTGGTTTTGACAATAAGGTGCTAACATGTGTATTTTCTTTACTTCTCCGGAGAAAACCAAATATGATCTGACTTCATTTAGTTTTTCCGATTCTTGTTAGTATGCATACAGCATACCAAATTGCATTCAATTGCCTGCATGAATTTCATCTCCCTCAGTTGCTTCCGTTTTCTTTTAACTATGACAACCAGGTGTGGCGGGTTCCCTTTAATGGGGATCAATGTGGAGATGCCGACTCTGTTGATATTGGCAGTCAACCAAAGGATTTGAGCCTTGCTCTTCACTCTCCTGAGCTTGCACTAGTTTCCACTGATTCTGGCGTTGTCATGCTCCGTGGGACAAAAATAGTATCAACCATTAACCTTGGATTTCCTGTGACAGCATCAGTGATTGCTCCTGATGGAAGTGAAGCCATCATTGGTGGACAGGATGGTAAATTGCATATATACTCCATCACGGGTGATACACTTACAGAAGATGCAGTCCTTGAGAAACACCGCGGTGCTGTTACTGTTATACGCTACTCTCCTGATGTTTCAATGTTTGCATCAGGTGATGCAAACCGTGAAGCTGTTGTCTGGGATCGTGCCTCCCGAGAGGTAATTTCTCAGTTCCCATATTTTTGTTTCATCTTTTTCTCTAGCATTAATGTTAGTGGGGAAAAAACGTGCATCCTAAGTGAGTGTGCATGTCTATATATATATATATATATATATATATATATATATGGTGGCTGCTCTCATTTTCTCTGAATAAGTGAATATAACTGTAAGAGCTCATAGTTCTGGGGCAGCTTTTCAGGATTGCTCTTCTCATAATAGAAGGGAATGTGATTACAATTTTTGACAGTCTCTCTACAAGTTACTATGCCATACATGGTAGTAATTGGGGAAAATTAACCTCTCTGAAATTGACTTACCATATGAAGTTAGAAACAGCCGAACTAGAAGCCCTGCATCTTTTGACACGCTATAATTTTACAGGTGAAGCTGAAGAACATGTTGTACCACACCGCGCGAATAAATTGCCTTGCTTGGTCTCCTGACAACAGTATGGTTGCTACTGGGTCACTTGACACATGTGTCATCATATATGATATCGACAAGCCAGCATCGAGCCGGACAACTATAAAGGGTGCTCACTTAGGTGGTGTTTATGGATTAGCATTCACTGATCAGCAGAGTGTGGTGAGCTCTGGTGAGGATGCTTGTGTACGTGTTTGGCGGTTAACTCCACAGTAATGCGATGACTGGGGACGTTCTTGGAGACTGTAAGGTCAAGAATAGCAAACTTGTTCAGCATGCTGCTTTGGTTTCTATCCGTCTTGTTTTTTCATTCAATTTTGTCTCGCTTTCACATTCTGATGAGAGAATGGGAAGGTTATACGTCTCTTCATTATCGGAGACTACCAGGAAGAAGACTTCGTTTTCTTTTCATTAGCGATCCAAAGCTTCGTGATCTGTAAGATGTTTATTCGATGTTGAAGTGCGCTGCTGTCTGGCTATCTAATCTAGGAGAGGAAAATTTTGCAAAAGATATAGAGCAATGCCGATGTCTGCCTGCAAAATGTGTAATCATAGAAGCTGTTGCATGTCATTGTTTGGAGCATCAGAGGTACTTTTAAGTTGTCTTTCCCTTTTGTCCTTTCACAAACCCCCCTTATGCGATTTGTGGCGAGAGGAGTGTTGTGTGTTTTGTACAATTGCTGTTATTTTAGTAAATGTGATATTTATGAGGGTGTTTTTATCTGATAGTGTCAGTGCTGCATCTTCCTTTCTAAGCAAGGGGAATTACAGGAAGTGTAAAAAAGGTCACGAGTGGTTTCAATGCTTGTATTTTGTGTTTTGTAGTGTAATTCGCGGTTCATGCACCATCTTCAAGACTATTACAACGTTGCAAACTTCTATTCCAAGCAGTTTGTGAGCTTGAAATTTTGCTCCAATGCGGCCTATAATTATTCAGATATATCGGATGGTCTTAGAACTTCTTTTCGCGTACTAGTGGTACTGTCCTTGCAACTTTTAGGGGGCATTTGGTAGATAGATCCAGAATCATGATTCTGAATTCTGATTCAGATCAGTATTTATTTACAGTGATTTTGAATCATGATTCAGAATCAGTGTTTAGTTTGGATGATTCGGAATCTGATGTGATGTTTTAAACCAGAATCACTCATGATTTTAAAACCACTCCCCTCTTGATTCAAGGTGATTCAAACCCCTGATTCAGAATCGTGATTTGAACTTAAAATCATAAATTATGGTTTTGATTCCAGAATCGTGATTTGAACTTAAAATCATAAATTATGGTTTTGATTCCAGAATCGTGATTTGAACTTAAAATCATAAATTATGGTTTTGATTCCAGAATCGTGATTTGAACTTAAAATCATAAATTATGGTTTTGATTTCAGAATTATTATTAAAATCACTTTGATTTGAATCTTCGTACACACTCAAAAGAACATAAGGCTGATCGGAACAAAACAAGATAGTCAATTCATGAAAGAAATCAATATTTGAAAAAGAGGAAAAAAAAAAACCCCCCAACAAACAACACAAATTTCTCATTATAAGAACCATGTGAATTTAATTTTTTAGATTAAGGTTTTTAGTGACAAGTCGCTCAAAAAATTATCTTCGTGAAGGGTTAGTCGAAATTTCTTATTAAAAAAAAAAGCATAAAAGAACTGTCGTGACAATTTTTGATATAGGCCTTTTAGCGGCAACGTATGTCGTCGCTAGAAGGTTTGCATGAAAGCAAAATAGGTTCGCAGGAAACAAAAATTTTCCACTGTCATTTGGAGACGACAAAGTCGAGTTTTAGAACTTGTTGCTAAAAGTATGATTTATTGTAGCGAGTATGGAATCAAAAGCTCTAATAACAGGCGAGGTGACCAATCAAAGTGATCCCTTCTTGCCATTCAGATTTATACACTTCACCATTTGTCTAGGGTTTTTGGAATATCGAAGTATTTTCTTATTTGAGATTACATTTCTCATGGAATATTCAACACGTGTCATGCTCGGAATGGATGATTTCAATCTCATTACATGTTAAATATCAATCTTGGTCTTTGCTATTGAGTTGGTTGGTAAATGAGATATAGTTCAGTCAAATTGAATGTTGATGGTTCCCTCGGAATTCATCAAAGTCCTCTAGTGGTTTCATTTAGGGTCCCGTTTATTTTACCGATTCGAGTTTAAAATTCGAGTTTTGTTACAGTAAAAAGCTCTCAGAAACAGTCACATTTAACTTTTTTACTACAGTAAAAATCTCTCACATAAAGTCACAACTCAACTCAAATTAATCTAGATATCGAGTGTAATATGTCCTCCGCCTCGACCTACAACAACTATATATTTGCCCGGCGTGTGTCTCATTTTTCGAACTCTGCCATTAAGAGAAAGCCCCCAACACTACCCACATTCAAAAGCTTTAACATAATTTAGTAATGCCTATGTGTTTGACATATCTCACATTACACATGACACTAGGGGCTGGGTTAAAACAGAAAAAAAAAAAAAAAAAGTGCAGCACACAACTCTAATCTGAATAGAACACTATTCCTTTCCCTTTGGCGTAAAAAGTTTTGTCTCGATGAAGCCCTCCAGAGGTCATGATATCAGGGATCTTGCATACGAGTGATATCGGGTATGTATGTTTCATAACTCAAGTTATGAATTTGAGTTTTGTATGTGAGAAAAAAATACTATTATAAAAAAAAGTTAAATTTAAATTTTTATGAGAAAAAATATTATATCAATAGAACTTAAATAGTGATTTGAATTGTGAAAACAACAAAGTCGAAAGAGTCACTGAGCAGACTCTTCAGGGATGCGCTTATTGATTTGCAATATTTTGCAAATTTATTTGCTAGCTGTGGGATTGATTTGCTACAGGAAGGCCTATTGGATTGAATTAGATTTCCATACCTAAGAAGTTAACTATTGCAGGATTTGAAAACTTTGGTTTTAATGGATTGATTTGCTGAAAAAGTAAGGATATTGCTATGCTGCTTAAGTCGTCCAGGTACATGGGAAATAAATTTGGATTGATTTAGTGAGAGTTACAATTGAACTTCATCTTTGTCTTTCACGTAGCCTGGCGATTCGTTTTCGTTCTTCTTTTTTTAGCTTTTGCTTTCTTTTAATTTTTCCCTTAATATTTTTCTTTATTTTCTTATACCACTTTTCCCAGTATTATATTTTAAAATGTATTCCATTAAATTTTTTTTTTTTTCCTTTTTTAACTTGTAGAAATATTTTTTGTTTGAGTATATGCTTACTTAAATATGTTTTTCATTTTCACATATGCACCTTAATTAGCAGTTTTCTATTTTTCTATTTGATTTGTACTCAATATGATCTTGATTGGTATAAAAATAGTAAAGAGCATGAGTGTTTGGTTTCTCCATGTTGCCTAGCCTATTTTGTTCTTTTTCTATCTTTTACTTAACTAATAATCTTAGGTCCCGTTCATTTTACCGATTTAAATTTAAAATTCGAGTTTTATTACAGTAAAAAGCTCTCATAAACAATCACATTTAACTTTTTTACTACAGTAAAAAACTTACATAAAATCACATTTTAACTTGAATTAAAAACTCAAATCAGCGAACTAAACGGGCTCTTATATTATTTTGTTCTCATTACTTTTTACTTGTAAACTCATATTTAAAAACGTGTTTACTAATCATTTTTCTTTTTTAGCCCTTTAAAATATATATGTTTTCAAACATACCCTTACTCATACATCATTCTCCTTCTTACATGTACACATTACTTTAGTTTCTATTTGATTTGTTCTAAAATATGTCATGTTTATAGAAAGCGTGAATGTGTGCACTCAATTTCCTTATGCTTTCATTCCCCCTCTATTTTCTTTTGTTTTTCGCATTTTTTATGAAAGAAAATATCTGTGTTTTAAACTTCCTTAAATAGACAAGATATAAATTTTAAATCAAAATGATTTTCATCTCAATTAAAATTGTAAAAAATATAGTTTTAAAGTAAACTCAAAAACACTTAATTATGTATAAAATAAATTTTCAATTGTGTAATAAACAATAAACAACTACTTAAATAATCTCAACACGACAACATGTGCTGTCCGCACGTTCTCAGGAGCATGTTCTCCAGCTAGTTTAACAATAAAAGTAAAAGAATGTTATTTTCTCGGGATAATTCCCCTTAAGATGCTGATCTCACACCAATCGATGTCTGCCCAAATTTTGTGGTCCCCAAAGTAGGTAAAACGATAGTTCAATCTTGAATTATTTCCCCTTAACCTAGTGGATATGAAGAGCGGTCATCCTTGTACACTTTTTATATTTTTAAGACTGTTTAGTTCGTTAATTTAAATTTTTAATTTGAGTTAAAATGTAATTTTATATAAGAGTTTTTTACAATAGTAAAAAAGTTATATGTGATTGTTTCTGATAGCTTTTTACTGTAAGAAAACTCAAATTTTAAACTCGAATCGGTAAAATGAACGAGACTTTTATAATTCTCTTAAGATCAATCTATCGTGAACAATATTCCTTTTCTCAATCTAGGATTGATTAATCTATATAACAAATTCATCCATTCCTCGACATTTATGACTTCGATTTTGTTACAATGAAAAGCTCTTAAAAATAATCACGTTTAACTTTTTTACTATAATAAAAAGCTCTCAATAAAGTCACATCTTAACTTAAATTAAAAACTCGAATTAGTGAACTAAACAGATCATAAGTCTTGTCTTTATAAAATTCTTATGTTGACTTTTAGAGCCTGTTGAGTTCTTTTCTTTCGTAGAAGGTAGATCAATAGGAGACAAGGCAAGTTTTGACTAGAAGACACGTCAACATCTCAAGGTAAGAAAACCAACCTTGTTAGAAAGTTAAGCTTAAAGTTTTAAGGTCCGTTTAGTTTACTGATTCAAGTTTTTAATTTGAGTTGAGATGTGATTATTTCTGAGAGCTTTTTACTGTAACAAAACTCGAATTCTAAACTCAAATCGGTGAAATAAACGAGGCTTTAATGTTGAGCTGTTATGAGAATAATGTTGGCTTAAGAATTTTTGCCTCTAGAAGTTAGGATTTTTGATTGAAAGTGATAAGAGCGTGTCTAGAGTTGTGGTCTAGTTGTTGTGTGACATGATTAAAGACTTGTAACATAAAAAAATAATGAAAATAAAATCTTGCTGGTAGACTAGAAAGTCTTGCGAAAAATGTGATTCTAATTTGGCATGAAATCTAAGGTTTGGCATGAGAAATGGTTAGTATGGAATGAAAATATGGACTTTATAATGCTTATATATGATTTACTAAGATCTGGAACGTTTGGGTTGAAAACAAAAAACTTTTAAAAACTGAGACGAGTGAAAGCACCAGTAGAAAAGACGACCTTCATTGACAACGTCCTTGTTAGAGGCCGAACTAGGCATAGAGTCCAACAAAGAACCGATAGATCTCATCAAATAGAATAACTTTTATGTTTAAACTATTGGCTAACTAAGACCGGAAGGTATAGAAAACGTCAGAAATTGATGGAAGTTTAGGCCTAGCAGGAGGACCCCCCATTAGATTGGCGAATTAGGCTTAGGAAAACAGAACATAGTTGTAGATGTTGCTAAAAGGACTAAAAGTTTCATGTTGAGTTTTTATAGATTCTATTTCGATAAAAAATTAATGTGTCTGAAAGATCTGTTGACTAAATTTTAACCGATGACAAAATAAAGCAAAATTAGAGAGAGAATATTTACAGAAATAAGACCCGAAATTTTAACCGATGATAAAAAAGGTTATTTCACTGACGATAACATTCTTGGTGACTAAGATAAGACCCAAAATTTAGGAGATTCAACTCAACCCTTGGAGAGGTTCAGGAGTTAGGTATGAGACTATCAAGAGTCCGAACAAGTTATAAAATTAGAGAGAGAATATTTACGGAAATTAATTAAGTTAATTATGAGATTTCTAAGTAAATAAAAAATGTTGAATAATTTAATTAATTAATTAATTAATAATTAGCATAATTAATTGATTAATTAAAGTTAGAAAATGAAATGATTTAAGACACGAGAATAATTAACCCATTGAGTAATAAAGCTTGCAAATAAATTAACAAGTTAATTGAAGAAGTTGATTAGTTAATTTATTTGGAGAATATTTTTAAACTTAGAGTGACAAAAATTAATTAAGGCCCAGTTTATTTCACTAGTTTAGTTTAGTTCAACTCAGTTTGAACAGTGAGCACAGTTTGAACTTGCGTTTGGTAAGCATGCAGTTTGAATTATATTTCTCGTTTGAACTGAGTTAAACGGCCCAACTTAAAGTTTAGCTCTCCCCTCAAGTTCAACCGTTCAAACCATTTTTTAGCAGTAAAAAGTCCCAACTCTCTCTGCTTTTCACACCTACCAAGCACAAATTCAAAATTTATTCCCTGTTCAATTAAAACTTTAACTACATATCTAAACGTCAATTCAAACTACAATTTAAACCGCACAGTTTGAATTTTTTTGTTCAAATCAAAAAGTTCAAACCAGCGAACCAAACGGGGGCTAAGTTAATTAATCCTAGAATGTCGATAAGAAACGATTCATAAGACTTAAAAAAAATTAGTTAGAAGTTTGAAACTAAATTGACATTGATTTGTTGGTGCAACTTGAACACAGAACCTGCGAAATCGAGAGCGCGATTCGCTACGATTAAACGCTAAATTATAATCATTCAGGTGAGTACAAACCTCATTTACAGCATGAGTGAGTTTTAAAAGATATACTTGAGATTTTTTTTTTGTATGCACCTATTCTTTGTGATTGACATGAGTTTTAAAGATATACTTGAAATTTTTTTTTTTGTATGCACCTATTCTTTGTGATTGACATGAAAGATGATGAAATCGTAGAGTATGTTGCCTCTTTAGTTAAATTACATTTATAATATTCATGTGACATTATCACAATTGCATATTCATTTTAAATTGAGGTAGAGGTAATCAGAATTAGTTAAGTGTTGTACCAACTTCGCAAGAGAGGTAACCAGTTTTCATAAGGAAAATATAATTAATATAGCCTTGAGTGTTATCTGACTAAATGTATGGTTTAAATATTATTCACATGAAGACTTTATAATCATGCTTAATCATACTTATGTTTTTAACTTCTAAGTACTTAAAACCTAGATTGTATTATTATCGATGTTATGTTGGATTAGAACCTTCGCAAGATTATCATGTTTAAAACTACAAGTTGTTTTTATTTTTCTGCTTGACTAGATGCAAAGCGAAAGAAAAGTGATTTACAAAAAAAGTTTTCAAATCAAGTAAGTTTTGATAACCGTTTTTTTATTAGTCTAATCTAACATCTAACAAACATAAAAGAGCAAAGATCTTTTTTATGAGACTGTCACGTGACATCGTCTCTGCTCCTACCTTTTTTTATTTTTTTGAATGTTTTCTACATTTTAATTTTTTGTGTGTTTTTTAAAAATATATTTTTTCTCACTTTAATTCTATGCAAGTAATTTTTTCGCATGTATTTCTATATTATTTTTTTGTCAATGATCAAAATAAAATTCTTCTATCTTTATTAAATTATTTTTCGTATAATTTTTACTAGATCAAACGTTATTTTTACACATATTCTTCTTTTAAATAAATTTTAAAATCCTTAAATATTTATATAAATAAATTTCATTATTCAATAAATAATAAACTCTTCACACTCTCTAACACGACTGCGTGCAGAGCACGTTAAAAAAACTAGTGTTATACATCGTGCCAGTGATCGCTACTTACTAAAATGAAAGGGAAACGACACCTTTCTGAGGAGAAAAAAAGGAAAAAACGACAAAGATTTAGAAAATTGAGGCTAAAGCCGAAAGACTTTTGCATCACGTGTGATAATGATTCATCATGCTTCATAATCTTACCTGTGATTCGTTTAGCAGAAATCTTAGCCGTAACTGTTCTTGATAAACTCGCAAGTTGTAACAATTTTTCCTTTTCAACCGGAAAAAAAAAAAAGGAACCGGTAGGACTGTCCTTTTTTCCCCCTGCCAATTGGATAGTGTTGTTTTAATTGTTAAATTTAATTTTTTTCAACCGTCTTTATGTCAATTTTTTGTTTCCAATTATAGGTTAGAATAATTAAAAATCAATTGAACGACTAAAACAAAAAATCCTAATGATAGGGAATAAGGATAAAGAATCCTACTATAAAATTTATTGAAAGGAACAAAAAAAAACTTATAATTATTTTATCAGTTCGGCTTACATTTTCAATTTAATATGAGTTGGACTAGATCTAACGATCAATAACTAATCATACCGATAAAAAAGCCATACAAAATAAACTCTGATTTAATTTCTTAACAGTCTTATATTAAATATTTGTATTAAAAGTTATCCCACAAGACACATAATTGTTTCTATTTATAGTATTTAAAAGTTAATTAAACGAATAAAACAGAAATTCCTAATGATAGGGAATAAGGATAAAGTATCTTATCATAAAACTTATCGAATGGAGAAAGAAAGGAAACAACAAAAATAAAAATAAAAATAACTTTGTAATAATTTCGTCTATAAAAGCACGGAAAAAAATATCCATTTCTCATTCACACTCCTCTCTCTCTCCCTCTTCGGCTCCTAAAGATGAGAACTCGGTTAGTATTCTTGTTTTTCTTCCTAATCCAGTACTCTGCGGGTGCAGCGGAACTCAATGAAGCGTCTTCTTCGTTGTCGCCTGAGAGGCTCGATTTGGACACTGGCGGGCTCAGCAGAGCCAGCTTTCCGAAAGGCTTTGTGTTCGGAACGGCGACGTCGGCTTACCAGGTCGAAGGCATGACCCACCAGGACGGCCGTGGGCCCAGCATTTGGGATGTTTTCGTCAAAACTCCCGGTGAGCAAAATCTTATACATTCTTCAGATTCATATAATCACAAATCTTCATACCCATTTCAGTTTTTTTTTCTTTTTTTTTTGGTAGAAAATTATATTCTTTTAAGTTGAATACAGATTACTGAAACTGAAATGAGTGTTTTTTGAAAACAGGAATTATTGCTGATAATGGCACGGCGGAGGTTACAGTAGACCAGTATCACCGTTACAGAGTAAGCCTTTTTTTCTTCTTTTTTTCTCACCCCTTTTGCTTCTTGAAATCTTTCTTTTTCTTCTTTTTTATTTTTATTTTTTTGCTGAATCTCTGTTTTCACGGTTACGTTCCGCCGTGTGGTTCTCCCAGCAAATTTAGAATATCCTATTTTTGGGATGCATTTGCGGCCTAATATTAGCGATTAAAATGACCTTATCCATTCGCTATTTTACCTACAACTTCTGAACTTGCCACTTTTAGGGCCTGTATAGATTTTTAATTTGAATTGTGATCTAATTTTATGAAAAAAAAAAATTTATTATAGTAAAAAAGTAATAAAATTTTAATTTTAAATTTAAATTAATAAAGGTCCCGTTCAGATTCGAGCTTTACTATAATAAAAAGTTTTTAGAAACAGTCACAAGGGCCCGTTTAGTTTGTTGATTCGAGTTTTTAATTTGAGTTGAGATATAATTTTATGTGAGAGTTTTTTACTGTAGTAAAAAAGTTAGATGTGATTATTTGTGAGAGTTTTTTACTGTAGTAAAATTTGAATTTTAAATTCGAATCAGCGAAATGAACGAGGTCTTAACTTTTTTACTAAAGTAAAAAGCTCTCACACAACATCGCATCTCAATTTGAATTAACGAACTGAACGAGATATCTTATTCTAATTTACTCTCTGAATTATAAATTAATGCCACTTAATCTCTCATATTAGAATTACTGTTATGAAATGACAAAAAAAAAAAAAAACAAATAGAAAAACAGAGAATTGGCTTCACATAATTCCTTTTAAAGAATGTATGATAAAACAAACGGAAAACATGACCACATAATCTCACTTTCTGTTTTTTTTTTCCTTGAAGAAAAATGCCTACATGGAAGTTCATGAATGATTTGAACTAAAATTTAAATTTTTATGAGAAAAATATTATACCAAAATTATTTTTGAACCGGAGTTTAATTCTATGCTTGCTCTCTAAGTATGATTAATTCAAAATTTTAAAGGTAAAATGAAAGTTTTTAAAAATTACTAGTGACTTTAAAATTGAGTGGACTGAAGTAAAAATAATACATGAATTTTGTCATTCTTATATGAGAGACAGCTGATAACGTTCTCAAGAAGTTTCCATTTCAATATTTTTTTGTAGTTCTACGGTCTCTTCCACTGTAAAATCCTTCTTCCTTTTTATCATTTTTATAGGAGAAAAACTAAACACATTCACCGACAAAACATGACAAAAAAAGTAGAAGAAATATATTTTAAATGACATTTATTTTAAAAGTTATGTTTAATTTAAGATTATGATTTTTAATTATATTATAGTATTTTTTTTATAAAAAAATTAAAATCATAAATAATAATTTTAAATCTAAAACCAAATAAATTTCACCTAAGCCCTTTTGGTTTATGAATTAAAATTATAAAATTAAAATTATTTTTTATTTATGTGTATTTTTTTAAAAGAAAATATTATAACAAATTATGAATCATGATTCAGATTTAAAGCATTCGGCAAAGGGGTGGTCCCATAGGACGTGGTGCCCACTCTACCTTAGATATAGACAATGATTGTGTCTAGTCACGGGTTTATTTTTGACAAAAGAGCCAAGACCACTGTCAAGAGAGTAGCCAGTGGGACCTGGCAATTACTTTCTTTTGTCTAAAAGATCTTTCACTAGATTTTTCTATCCCCAAAAAAGCCCTTTTATTCAGATTTTGGCTTTGTGTCAACTAAAGAGTAACGTTTATTTGATTTGAGGGTTGTATTTCTATGTCGACTTTTTTTAGGGTTGTATTCGATTTTGATTTTTATCGGTTTTTTACGGTTTATAAATTATATAGGGTGTGTTTAAAATTAGTTTTAAAAATAAAAATAAAAATAAAAATGGTTTATAAATTGTATTTATTTAATAAATATTTTGAAAACGAAAACGAAAATAAAAAAACAGTGAAAATAATTTTTGTGAATGAATTAAAAAACGGTTGAAAGTTATTTTTTTTTCTGTTTTTATTTTTTAATATTTATCAACAATGTTATAAGATATTAATTAATAATTATAACCAAATACGATTTCATTTTTTATTATACTTTAAATAATCTCTTAAAAAATTTTAAAATGTATGATTCTCAAAATAATCTCATTTTTATTTTTATACTGAAACAAATCATTTTGAAAACGTTACCAAACGGACCATGGTCTTTCTATGGTGTCGTTCTGACACATGGTCTTTCTATGGTGTCGTTCTGACACTATACTCATTTACAAGTAATCATATCAAGTTCGCATCTAAATTGTATATTATTTAAGATTGGTAAATTTACCATTCTATTACATTCAAAGTTCAAAAGTAATTGTATTCTTAGCATTAGTGCCACAAGGACGCCATGATAGAATCCCTTTTGAAGTTACAAAATCTACAAAACTGAAATAAGGGTACCGCACGGGGACAAACTTTATGTCCATTTGTAGTACTATTTGTCATGGAGATATTTGAAAATTTGAATCTTATTTTGTTGTTTCAGGAAGATGTTGATATCATGAAAAAACTCAACTTTGATGCCTACAGGTTTTCAATTTCATGGTCCAGAATTTTTCCAGGTAATTACCCAACTTCTTTTAGTCCGGAGACTCAACTTTAAACTCCCTTTTTGTTAGGAAAATTTTTGTAGGACACCATTTTGAAATGATGGATTTTTATTAAGTTTCATTAAATTGTCATACTTTTTTAATTTGATGCGTTTCCAGTGCAATCCAATAGTTGAAAAATATTATCCTTCCGTCACAAAGTTCTCTTTGTCATAAAATTGTTGCAACTACTTTAATTTAATAATTTGTCTATTAAATTAAAGTATCAAATTAAAAGTAAATTAAAAGTCAACGCAATCCAACAGCTTCCTAATGTTTTTTTATGTTTTTGTCAATGTAGAGGGTGCTGGAAAAGTAAATTGGAAGGGGGTTGCGTACTACAATAGGTTGATCAACTACATGATCAAAAGAGGTAATTTCTTTGGTGCATTTTGAAATATGTATATATTTCATTACCAGTTGTATTGTTATTCTGTATTACGGTTGCCAAATAAGCTTATAGCAACCTCATTACAATTTACAAATAGTGGGGGACTTAATAAGTAGGTTTTATTTCTACAGGCATTACTCCATATGCAAATCTATACCACTATGATCTTCCTGAAGCATTGGAGGAGAAGTATTTAGGATTGCTCAATGACCAAGTAGTGTAAGTACCATGACACCAAAAAAAAGAAAAAAAAACAACTCTTGTGGACGTGGTGTATCGGAATCTCGCAATATTTTTATATCCTCTGGTGTAACATAGAACTTGAAATGTACTTTTACTACTTTTTCGCAGAAAAGATTTTGCAGATTATGCCGACTTTTGTTTCAAGACATTCGGAGACAGAGTAAAGAACTGGATGACGTTCAATGAGCCAAGAGTTGTGGCTGCTCTTGGTTATGACAATGGATTACATGCCCCAGGGAGGTGCTCCAAGGAATTTGGGAACTGCACAGCTGGGAATTCAGCAACGGAGCCTTACATTGCTGCTCATCATTTGATTTTGTCACACGCTGCTGCAGTTCAAAGATACCGCGAAAAGTATCAAGTCAGTTGAACATTTATTTTTGCTTTAGATTCATGAAACAATTTTGAAGCCTGTCTTAATTTACTAAAAATAAGTATTTTCATTTCAGAAAACACAAAAAGGAAGGATTGGAATTCTCACGGATTTTGTCTGGTATGAGCCACTTACTCGGTCAAAGGCTGATAACTATGCAGCACAGAGAGCGCGGGACTTTCATATCGGATGGTAAATTTCCTTTCTAAGTTAAGATATCAACAACATGCATGTTTCGCATTCTCATCATTAGTAGTTCAATCTTGGGCGTCTTTTCAATGAATGGTTACTTGGTATAACTTGCACCTGAAAAGGATTACATTCATATTAATGTAAAAAATGTATTGTAATTTCAAGAAATGCTTTTACCAATGCCAACTTTCTTACATATCGAATTCGCATAGGTTCCTTCATCCTATTGTATATGGTGAGTATCCAAGAACAATACAAGAGATAGTAGGAGAAAGGCTACCCAAGTTCACAAAAGAGCAGGTTAAGATGGTTAAGGGCTCGATCGATTTTGTGGGTATCAACCAATACACCTCATACTACATGTATGATCCACATGCGTCAAAACCAAAGGTCTTGGGGTACCAGCAGGACTGGAATGTGGGATTTGCATGTAAGTTTTCCCCCTCTTCATCTTAGAACATATATAACAGTTAGTAAACAGAACTAACATTTTTCCATTGCTAACTCTTTTATGTGCATTTCTCTTTAATCTTTCAGATGCTAAGAATGGAAAGCTAATTGGTCCTAGAGTAAGTTTCAATAATCCATTTACATATTCCTTTCTAATAACAACCATGGCCTCAAAGTTTTTTTTTTTTTTCTTTTTTCTTTTTTCTTCATAACACAATCATTTGAAATTTGCAGGCTTATTCTGAGTGGCTTTACCAAGTACCATCGGGCTTGTACAAATGTTTGATGTACTTAAAAGAGCGTTATGGAAACCCGACTGTAATCCTATCTGAAAATGGTACAACAAAGTTGATTTCTTGGTTTATTTTCATTGTTAGTTGATCGAATATTATTTAATTTTGCCATAATATTACTGGATGCAACTTAATCAATTGCTTCTGGGAAAAAACACATTGCAATTTTTTTTAAGCTTTATGTTATGAATGTTTCAGGTATGGATGATCCAGGCAACGTGACACTTGCTCAAGGATTGCATGACACCACAAGGGTCAACTACTATAGAAGCTACTTACTTCAACTGAAGAAGGCGGCCGATGACGGAGCCAATGTGATTGGTTACTTTGCTTGGTCTTTGCTTGACAACTTCGAGTGGCGGTTGGGCTATACTTCCAGATTTGGGATGGTCTATGTTGATTACCACAGCCTCAAAAGATACCCAAAGATGTCTGCTTATTGGTTCCAGAAACTGCTTAAAAGAAACAAGTAGAGCAATCCGGACTGTTGTCTAGGGAGCAGTCTTTTTAGTTTTTATGCAGGACTCTTTTTTCCTATGGGACAAATAAGTCTCTCTCCTTAGTTGTCAATAAATAATTTTTTCTCTGCTACTGGTGTAATTGCAATGTTCAAAATAAAAGTTTGCCTCTCTTAGCTTCTTTTATGCTTTCTCATGCCTCCTAGAGTCGCATTGTCGAGTCGCATTGTCGAATTGCATAGTATCGGTGTTGCAATTTGCCCGAACAGGCAACAACTACCACCTCATTTGATTCTTCTATAGGAACTCAGAACGTTTGGATCTGGGAGTACTTGCAAGACAAACTCTCTTATGTTCAAGTCAGAATTTGTTCGAAACAAGTAATACAAGTTCTTAAATCAGAAAAAATAGTACTTGTCTCCCACCCCCCACCGCGTATTTAAAGGCATTCGGTTGCGCCTTATGACGCAGCCACATTCATTGAAATGCCCCCCCTAGAGTTGTAGAAGTTTTTATTATTAGATATAAATTCTTAAAAGAAATTTTAGTCATGCCCCTACTTAATTAAAAAAAATTATAAGTACACATGCACTCAATAAAATTACATTTTTATGCCTCCACTAGTAATAGAGTTATAAGAAGGTTTGGCTCAAATTATTAATAGATAACAATTTGGCTTTTCATGCTTAAATATTAGAAATTAACTCCCCCAACTCTACTGTTGGCAACAATGGTAAAATTGATAATGACTGTCTATATTGGAAGGGAAAACACTCAGTGTGTTGCAGATGTTTCACTCTTCAGGGATAGTTAGGAACTTAAAATAATTTATGCTCTTACCAAATCACATTTAAATAATAATAGATCACTTCTGCAAAGGGGGATAAGAGAGGGAGGGGCGCTAACATGAGGCGCGGAGGCAGGTTGGGCTAAGCAAGCGCGGGCCATCCCCCTTTGCGAAAAGCATATCATGAGGCTTTGCCGGCTGCTAAATTAGTCTTGTGAAAAGGAAACTACGGCCGTGTTTGGAGTTAGTTTTGTTTTTGTTTTTCACATTTCTTGAGAGAAAAAAATGAAAACAGGAGAGAAACGTCGTTTGGCACAATTAAAGATAAAAAACGGAAATGAAAACGATTTTTTGGTTTAGTGTAAAATGGGAGAGAAATGAAAAATGACTTTTAGTCGTTTTTCATTTTTTGTTTCCGTTTTCTCCTCTCTCGAGCAAAGAGAGAGACAATAATGAATTTTTTTATACTGAAAACAATCTCTTGATAAAAACTACTAAACGCATTTTAAAAATGATTTATGTCTGAGATTGAAAACATTTTCATTTCCATTTTCATACAAAAATAAAATCATTTTAAAACGAATTCCAAACGTACCCTACTACTTTCACATTCATACCCCAAATGCACTTTATCATAATGCATTGGTGGTACGTTGTAAATAGGATGGAAGAACTCTTAAATCATCAAGCTTTATTATTCCTCCTTCCATGACAATTATAAAGATGTTATCCACTTCTTTCATGACAAATATGAAGATGAGAAGTTAGAGTTGGGTGGCCAATCATTTATCTGAATTTAAAGTGGCACGACATAATATCAATCTATCCCATAATCACCAGAAGTTACACTCTAGTAGACGTTGATCTCCTCCTCAAGCTAACCTCTACAAGTTAAATGTTCTGATATCATCAGAGATCATACCGGTTGATAGCCCCTATTAGCTCCTATCAAATATTGCTATTCTCCTGAAAAAAGGCTTGTGATTAATCCTTTTATGCATTCAATAAGGAATGTAAATTCATGGCTAAGTGGGAACACCAAAAGCCTTTAATTTATGTTTGAGAATTTAGTATTATTCATTTTGGAGTTTTTAGAAATTCAAGAGTTTGAGTTTATCATTGTATTTTATTTTGGAGTATTTAGAAATTTAGGAGTTGGAGTTTATTATTGCATTTAGTTTGGAATTTTAGAATTCTAAGAGTTCATCTTTCTCATCCGCTTCCCCGCTGCATCAGCCTCCAATGGGCAAGGGATATTATCTTGCCTTTTTACTTTGTTGAATCAATTCTCTCGAGCTTTTTTCATTGTTTGGGTGTTTTCACTATGTGTTTTGGTCCCTCGATTTGTTTTAATTTTTCATCGATTGTAGTGATTTTTTTTTTAAAAGAGTCATTTGTATGCAAGATACTTTGTGTGTCTAGTTGGTTCTCCGATTTTGGAACCCGACATACATTTCAACCTGTTGAAAGTTTCCTTCGAATTTAGTTGTGGTACCTGTTAGTGTTCAAAGTCGAGTTTTCTTGTATATTGGGGGCTATTTGCGTTGATATTAGTGCTTGTACTTCTTTGAGTTGCAATGCAATTTCTCTTTTAAAATAAAATGAAAAGAGTGGACCTTTTTAATTTTATTGTGTTTGGTATGGATTCCATTAATACAGAGAGATTAAAATTAGAATACTTTGAAGAATTTAAAACCATCACCTAATTCATTTCCTTCTCTTTTGTCTCTAGCCGGTACCACCATAGATACAAAATCCTTCCACTAATCCTAAACAAGTTTTGAGCAAAATGTTAATAATAAAGTAGGAGTATAAAAAGTTTTCTTCAAAAAATGTTATAACCATTAAAACCACGTCTACATATGTATTACAATATAAAATTAGGATTCTAAATCTTAATGGGAAAGCATGCCCCTCGTCGGCCATATCTACTTCCATTATTGATGCTAATTTATTGCATTACTACTTATTTTTATGAACGCTTTTAGTGATAATGAAAATCCGATATGATTTAATGCAGATTTTGGCCATCTTTCATTGAATTAAATAAGCAACAGAATTTTAGGAAATTGAAACGTGGTAATGCTGGAGAAAGATTAATATGGTTTGAAGCAGATTTTCCCATCTTACATTGAATTAAATAATAACAAAATTTTATTAAACTGAAACGTGGTAATGCTGGAGAAAGATTATTATGGTTTGAAGCAGATTTTTCCAGCTTTCACTGAATTAAATAATAACAAAATTCTGGAGAAAGGAAATTGTAACGTGGTAATGTCTTTTCAAAAGAATAATTAAAAAAAAAAACGTGGTAATGCTGGAGAAAGAGATATCACCAAAGATACGAGTCAAATGATTCTTGAAAAACTTTTAATATACATATTTTTTTCTCTTTTTTGCTATCTATAAAGACACGTTACATATCATACTTTCTCTCTCCCTCTCTCTCTCTGCATTCTAATTTCCTAGATGAGTGTTAACCACTTTTCATATTTTATGGGTAAAATGAATCCTTTAAATTAAATGAATCCTTTAAACTTTAGGAGACATTTAGAAATAAAATATAAAGTTCAAGAGCATTTATGATTATCAGAGACAAATGGCATATTTAACTAGTAAACATATTATTTACGCCAAGTATTCATCAATAAATAAACGATTTATGTTGCATAAATAAAATAAAATAAAAAGAATACGATATTTTCTTCAAAAAGAAAAAACATTTCAGTAAAAAAATATGCCTTTTGCTCCATCTTTGCCCTTAGGGGCAAATCATAAATTAGCCCAACTGTCTTGTCTTTCTTTTTCTTTTTTCAACTACGTGTCATTCCCAAAGTCCCACTTTACAATTGTCACCATTAACAATTTTTTAGTTTTAGATGATTAATACACAATATAGGGATAGTAACTTACATACATGATTTGATCAAGATTGCGAAAGACACTTACAGAATATAGGGATAGTGTCATTCCCTTTTCTTTTCTTTTTTTGTTTGGTATGGCGAGCAGAATTCGAAATTGTGCTTTCCTATTGCAGAAAAGATTTTGCAGATTATGCAGACTTTTGTTTCAAGACATTTGGAGACAGAGTGAAGAACTGGATGACAGTTGACACAAAAGTAGTATCATTTTTCAGCAAAAACAAAAGGGAAGGATTGGAATTCTGTTAGATTTTAACTGGTATGAGCCTCTTACGAGATCAAAGGCTGACAACTATGCAGCACAAAGGGCACGGGACTTTCACGTTGGATGGTAGGATCGTTCGTAACCCCTTAAGATATTGACAACATGCATGTCTCTCATTCTTGATGAATAAAACTCAAGAAGTTGGAGGGATAAATAAGGAAAGAATAATACACTAGCAAATTTATTTTTGTTCTTCAACAAATATAAATTATGAGAATTCAATGATAAAGGTCTTAGTGCACTATTTTGAACCGTCACAATATTTTTATCAAGATTATGTCTTTTTTGCATACCTTTTTATTTTATATGATTTTGATGAAATTTAATGTTCAGAATCATGTATTGCCAGTATTGTGTTCCTATTCCAGTTCATTTGAATTCATGAATGATTAGATTGACTTAATCAGAAAAGGTTTTTATTTATTAAGTGTACAAATTTTTGTCTGCTTAAGTGTGAAAATCTAGATCAGATTTGAATTTTCTTTAACCAATTAGACAACCATGTGACGATCTCATTGACTTGACATAGGTTTCTTCATCCCATTGTATATGGTGAGTATCCAAGAACAATGCAAGAAATAGTTGGGAAAAGGCTACCCAAGTTCACAAAAGAGGAGGTTAAGTTGGTGAAGGGCTCAATAGATTTTGTTGGTATCAACCAATACACTAGCTTAGTTTGGAATTGCTTTTCCATCTCAAAATCAGCTTCTGCTTGTAGCAGAAGCTGATTTTAGTGTTTGGTAAATTTCCTTAAAAGTGTTTTTTGAAGAATTTTTCAAGAATCTACAACCAAAATCAGAAGCAGCCTAAAGACAACTTTAGTTTTAGATTGTGCGGGAATCAGCTTAGTACAATTAATGAAACTTTCATAATACTCCTAATAAAATTTAAAATTGGCCATCTTCCCAATTTAAAATTCATACTCGTAATATAATATAATAATAATATTATAACAAATAATATCATAATTATATTAATAATTCTAATATTATTATTTTATCATATAATATGATATTATAATAATATTATAATTATTTTAATAATATGATATTATAATTAT